AGCACTATGAGCCTTACTAATGCAATCAAAAAGAATATCTTTAAGTCTATTAACTAGAACTTTAGAGATCAATTTGTAAATAATAGTACATAAACTAATAAGCCTAAACTATGAAATAGATTTAGGGTTTTTAATTTTTAGTATAAGGACAATGTGAGTTTTATTGATATCCCTAATTTCTCTTTCACCTTTAAGAATCTCAAACAAAAGTTAATGGCATCATTTCCAATAATATGCTAATAATTTTGAAAAATTAGTACGGGTATGCCATCAAGTCTAAGCGATTTGTTGGGAATTATTTGGTTTAAAGCTTGGTGGATTTCTTTAGTTTTGAATTCTGCAAGTAGCTTTTTTTTCATCTCATTTGTTATGTATGGGTTTATAGCGTTGATGACATCATCAAAATGATCTGTGTTTTCAAACTAAAATAGTCTTATAAAGTATTCAGTGTCAGTGTGTTCTATCTATTATTTATCATCACACCATGCCCTATGTTCATTTTCCAGTCCTCAAATCCTATTTTGTTTTCCTTTTAGTGAAGCTTGAGCGTGAAAAAAAGTCATGTTCCTGTCCACGTAATGTAGCCATTCTTCTAGCGACCTTTGTCTCCAATAAACTTATTCCTTTTCCAAGCATAAAATCAATTCTTCCCTAGCCCTACTTTTACTTTCTAAATTGTCACTTGTGGGGGCCATGTCATTAAGAATTTGGAGTTTATTTTTTAAGAAGGCCATTTTTTATCTTATGTCACCCACCTTGTCTTTATGCCATGCTTTCATTTTGTCATTTGCCACTTCAATCTGGTATGTACAAGACTATGCGCTTCACTCAATGCCTCGGCTACCACTTTTTTAGCTCTTGATTTTTTCATCCAGCTTGCTTCAAATTTTTATCTTCTTTTCCCCTCATTTTTTTCTTTTTAAAAGTTTCTCTTTGAGTGGTTATCAGTTAGAATGATGGTTAGAGATCAAATACATCAGGTGCATCACCTCAAAGTCAAGAAAAGCTTCATACCATTTTTTATTTTCAAGCCCTCTATCCAATCTTTCTTTAATATTTGTCTCAGGTGTTCCACCTCGCTCCCAAGGATACCACTATCTCGACCCCAAATCTTCCAAGCCACTTTCATCCATAGCTTTTCTAAAAGCTCTTAGTTGGTTATCCCTCCTCATGTTCTACCCTGTTTTTTCATTATTTCACATCAATTCATTAAAGTCCCTTATACACAACCATGCCACATCATCTTGTCCAGCTAACTCCTTTCTAAGCTCCCATGACAAATGCCTATGTCTTATGTCTGGCTCACCATAAAACCCAATAATTTTTCATGGCTCTACATTGACTTTTTTCTTCACTTTCACATCTTATATAAATATATAAAAGCCAAATCTTCTAATAAAAAAGAAATAATTTGATGGGGATAATTTATATTTTTGACATGTGGATAATCTAAAAAATTGACATGTGTTCTCTAATAAATGCATTTTAATAATTCAAAAAAATAAATTAAATAAACTTATTTTTATTTAGCTTAAATCATTGTCAATTAAATTTATAAAGAAAGTAATAAAAGTTTAATTGCCATCATTAATATATAGAATAATTTTGCTAAGATTTTTTTCAATTATAAATATTCAACTTTGAATTACATTTGTGTAAAAAATATTTATTTTCCAATATTCAATTTTACTTTTTGAGATAGGAATAGGTTTTTATTGTCAATCCACCATTTTTTGGATTGACATTCCAACTAATGAATGTAAGTTTGGTATTTAATAAGTAAACTATCAACCTAAATAATTATATAAATCATTTAATATTAAGAATTCAAATAAAAATAAATGCTTAATTATTTTTAAACATTTTTTTCACTATATATTTTATAGGTGTCTTTTTTTAGAAATCATCTACAAGTGATTAATTACGATATAAAGCATCTTAGTTTGAAGGCATAATTTACTCCTAATCAAAAGCTTTTAAAACATAAAACATAGACTTTTCAAAATAAAAGCTAGAAACCAGTTGATAATTAAATAAGCCATTATAATTAATTTGCTTAAATTACTCCAAATTTTACAAAAGCTTTATTATTATAAATAGAGAATCATCTTATGCTAAAATTGTTCAAAGTTTCACCAAAACTCTCCAAATGCATTTGATTGTTCATAAGTTCACCAAAACCTTCCAAATGCATTTGTTTAGTTGTGATTCCATTGAATCTTTTATATAGCAACTAATGATTTTTATTTTTAGTTATTTTTAGTTTGATTTAGTTTTTTAATCACTATTAACAATAAAAATGTATTGTTTTTACTCTAGGTATTGTTACTCTTTTGTTTAACTTTTTCAATCAATAAATATTTTTGCTTTACATGTTTGGTATTACTTCTCATTTGTTTATTTTTTATGCATATTTATTTAAACTCCATATATAATTTATTCATTCTTAATGATCTTAAGTCATTTACTTTTCAATTGGCTTGAATTTCATACTAGCATGAATCTCTCTTTGATTTCGAAATATTGTATCTAAAATTTTTATAATACAACAAAATAAAAGTCTCACATTCCATGAAACAGGAAAGAAAACATATAATTTTTTTTCTTTTACTTTTGCTTTACGATTTTGCCTTTCATTTGTAGTTTTTTCTAATATCATGTTTTTTTACGTTTAATATATGTGGTTTTATTCTATTATATATATTCTATTTAATTTGCTTTGTATGAATCAATAGCATAATTTTTTTTGGGTACAACAGCATAATATTTAAATTAAGATGTTAATTGCTTTTCACTTATGCCATGAATAGATGCCTTTTGTAAACAATTTTATCATGATCAACTATTTGGTCATGGTTAATTCATTTGCTATTGAATAAAAGAATTAAATAAGAAATAAAATGGTGTGTTTAATGTGTATTTTCTAATATATGCATCATTGTTTAATGCTTTAAAAATTTTAAAAATAATAACTTAGATAATTTCGCTATTTAATATCCAACATGATACATAACAAATAATTAAATAAATTTTATTATTAATGAAAATTGTTAAAAGACAAAAGACAAAAGTACCTCTTTATTTTCAATTTTATGATATATATAAAAAGATAAGTTATACAAGTTTTAAGGTAAGTGATATACTTAGCTTTTCCAATAATTTGAAAACATTAATTCAATATAATTTTTTATTCAACATTTTATCATGCACTTTCCTTTTTTTTTACAATATTTGTATTCTAATTTTTATATTTCAATTCATACAAGTATACATACTAAATATATTACCAAATAAGTGTCAAAACAATTCATTTTTCTTATCCAATTAAATTCTATTAAATTTGTTAAATTTCCCCAAAAAATGTCAATAAAAAATTGTATCTGAAAAAAAAATTTATATAACTTTTCTAATTCTGAAGAAAACAATAAAACCTTAAAATAAATAATTGATTTTCATTTCCAATTATTTTTTTCTTATAGCCTATGTTGACTTAAAGCATTTCAATGATTTTCTTAATTAGATCTATCAAATATTAATTTTGATTGAAAGTTAACTAATCAAATAAATATGATATATGTTTTAATACATAACAATTGTTTCACTTTAATTTCTTTTGAAAATTTATATGTTGTATTTTGAGAAATAAAAGGTAAGATAATTCAATTGTATCTATAAAATTATAAATTTATAATAAATATGAGATAAGTATGAATATTAAATTATTAATTTATAGACATCAATAGATTAAGTTCTTCTAAGTATACTATTATAGTTTACATATTTTTCTAACAATTAATTTTAATAGATCTAAGAGATGAAATAGATAAGTAAAAAAAATGGCTTAATCTCATTTTTTGGATCTATTAAAATTAATGCTTAAAAAAAATATAAAACTAATAAATGTTATATTAGTGTAAGTTGATCCCTTGATGCATATATGTATATATACCACCCACATTATAAAATGAGATTTCTAGTATTATATATTATTATGAAAATATAATTTCTTATCAAAATTATAAATATAATACTTTTTTAAATAAAAATTTTATTTTTTAATAAATAATCCTTTATTTTTTTAAATAGTAGTGTACGTAAAAAAATATATATATATAATTAATTTGTTTGTTAAAACTAGTTAATATAACTCTTAAAGAAACTCTTCAATTTGAAATCCACTTCCTGCCTCCACATCATCACTATCCCCCTCATTTCCTTCGGAACTAATTCCAAAACATCCTTCCATTCTACATTTATTTTTTTATTAGTTTCAATTAAAAAAACTACATGGGGATCTTTCCTTTCCACCAACTCATGAACCGCCCATGGGTTTCCAAGCCCACGGCATTTCCACGACTGAATATCGGTCGCCATCGCTATACTTCCCAGTTGAACAACCTCTGTTTCCTTCTCTCTTATCTTCTTTGTTTGCTGGTCGATATCCATCTCCTCTCTTTTTTCCAATTTCGTTTTCCCTATGCTGCTTGGATTAATCGCCAAAGTATTCTAGTTAATTGCTCGTGTCTTCTTCTTCCACATCCCTTTCATATTTTCTTAGCCGTCAAACACGTAATGGTCCCTACACCGCCCATTCTTTCCTTAAACATTTCTAATTCTCCTTTATTAGCTTTTGCACCGCCATCTGTCAAAGTACATTCTTCATTCTCCTAAAAAAATTTTTAATTTTATATTTTTTAATTATTAATTTCAATATATTTAAAGGATGAGAAAAATAAGTTAAAATAGAAAAAAAATATTTAATCTCATCCAATCTATTAAATCAATGATTAAAAAATGTAAAATTAAAAGGTTTTACATTGGTATATATGCATACTAATTTGTGTGTATACACGCTTTTATACATACAAAAATATAATAAATAGATAAACAGATAAATAAATATTAGAATTGGTTTATTTAACGTTAAATAATATTTATAATTTAATTTAAAACTAAAAGTAACACAAGTAGTTTCACAATACATTAAATAATAACTCTAATTAATTAAGTTCTACATTGAGGAGCATAGCCAAGGGAGCAGACAAGGGCCATGGTGCCCCCAAATTTTGAACCCTTTTATAAAATTGTAATTAATCTGGCTAAATATTATATCTGACCCTCTTTTCTCTCTTGAATTTATTATTTGCTCCCCTTTTCAATATTCCTAGCTTCGCTTCTGTCCACACGTTATCCATAGCATCAAGAAGACTTCTTGAATATTTATCTAGTGCATAACTTTTATACAGTACAAATAACTCTATGATTAATATATAATATAATGATAGATAAAATCCTAAACTCAAAATATAATATTATTTGCTATGGTTAGTGGATGTGGCATATTAGTGGTGATTGTAGTAAAGTCAGTGTTGCCGATATTCTCCTCTATCTGCATTAACAAAAAAATTTATATGAGTCACTTGCATGTATTATATGATTAAATACTCTAATAGTGTATGATTAATGTTATTGTGTTTCTTATTACCGTATCTTGAAGATATTTATTTGCAGCTTTCAGTATCCCTTCCTTTAAAAAAAATAAAAAATAAAAAAGTTATTACACATAAAAATAACATTCAATTCATTATATATGATATAAAAATATATATATAAAAGCACAAATATTGGTAAAACTTTTGGTTGATGAACATATTTATTTTTATTTATTATATTTCTAAATTTCCATTTTAAAAATTTGTATCATAAGTGTTAATAAAATTTATCCATTTTATAAATAAACATTCTAATTTCATAGAAAGACTTTCATTCAATGGATTTGTTTAATAAATGAAAATAATTAAAGCTTACATTGGATTGCTTTATCCTCAAAGTTCTAATTTTACATTAATATTAGAAGTATTAAACTTTATATTAATCTTATATATTTCACACATGGAACAACCTTTCCGTGTTAATCTAAATTTTGATCAATAAATACTTTGTTGGTTTTAGTTATTTTAATTATTTGTATGATATTCAATTCTATATTCAATAAATTATCATTATTATTTAAAAGTAAATAAAAAATTCACATTGTTAATATGTAATTTAGTTCCTAAATTATACTACATTTATTGATTTGGTACTTATAAAAAATTTACAATTAGATATCCAAACTTACATCGTTTTTGCGTATTTTCGATAATTACATTATTTTTACGTATTTATTCTAGTAAAGACATAACAACTAAACATATGGGTCTTTTAAATCAAGGAAACGTCAAGTAGAGTGTTTGTTCTTCAAAGCAACATGAAAATTTGTGTTAGTAATTTGGGATTATTTTTTTCTTGAGCACTTGAGAAATAAAAAAACTTTTAAATGAATGTTATGTTGAAATTAATTATTAATTTCAATTTAGTTTGTAAAGTTATATTAACTATTGAATAAAAAGAACTATGAAAATCATGAAAACCCACAATTAAAGAGAGCCCAAGTGGGCTACTATCCGTTTAGTTTCACGTATAATTTTTTTATTAGAATCTTATAATTATTAAATCATGATAAAAATTATATAAAAATTTATCACATATAAAATTTGATGAACTTCACATAATTTTAAATTGTTATTGGCTGATTTAGTACAATAATTATATGTAATATATTCCGATACATGATGGACTTTAAGTCTCTAATTAATAGAGACAAAGACATGTTTTTCTTGAAAAAATAAGAGAAAAAAAGCTTTATTGAAGAGAGATCTCTCTAAGAAAAAGCAAATTGTGATGGAAGAAAAATAAATAAAAAATTTTAAAAAATCATTTGCCGCCCAACAAGGCCAAAAAAAAAAATAAATTACGCATCTAATAGATAGGTTGGTTAGCCCAGCTTGCAATTAGTGGTTCGACCGCGAATCCTAAACCGTTAGGTGTAGATTTTTTTTTTTTAAATTAAGTTTCGGGTAAGGTATTATTAAAAAAAATCGGATTTAGGTTTTAAATAAACTCGATCCGATCCTATCCGATATTAAAAAAAATTATTTTTTAATTTTTAATATTTATATTTATATTTAAAAAATAATATTTTATATTTTAAAAAATAATATTTTATTAATTTCAGGTCGGATCGGGTACAAGTTTATATAAAAAATCGGGTCGAGTCGGATTCGAATATAAAAAAATAAAACAAATTTCGGTTCGGATTTAAGTTTTAAAGTTATAAAATCGGATCGAATTCGAAACGAGTAAAAACCCATCCCGACCTGACTCATTGTCAACCCTATCTTATACAATAAAATCTACAATTATTTTTAGTTTGAAAATTACAACAAAAACCAAAAATAAAACAAAACAAAAATGAGTAATAAAGTTGGTTACAAGCAAACGGGGAATGCAATAAAAAAAAAAGTGGGTCAATTCTATTAACACCGAGAAAAATTGGTTCAAGCTGGAGCCTGACCCAATACACTCTTTTATTTTATGTTTATTATGAAAATGTTAAAAAGACATTTTGAATATATTTTGTAATTAAATTTAAATAAATTATAATATTTTTAAAGATAATAATATCCTCAGGTAGGGCGAGGCAAGACCCAAGTCTTAAGAATTTAATTTCAATATATTTAATTTTCTTAACGTTTAAATCTATGTGATTATTAGAATTATCATTATCAAGAAATATAATTATTTATTTATTAGAACATATTAGGATATGAAAAAAATTTTAAATAAATTCAAAATATAAGTATTCAAATAATAAAAATTTTAACTTGCAGCAACACGCTCGTTAAACACTAATAATAAGTAGTCAAATAAATTCTATTCATTGTCCTTAATTTGTTTTTATTTTTATTTTTATTTTTATTTTTATTTTTCACATTTTAGACAAAAATCTTCTAATTAATGTCTTCCCGAATATATCAATCAGTTGTAAGTTGTAAGTTTTGTTTGTATCTAACACTTACAAAAACCAAAATGCATTAATTAATACTATCAATTTCATACTAACCTTGTTTCTTAGCATCTGAATTTCTTGAAACATAATGTCCATCTGTATTTCATGAGACAAATATACAAATTTGTAAAATGAAAATTAATTATTGTATTAACTTGAGATTCAATTAAATTATTATTAAAATGAATTATATACCTTTGCCGATCGAATATGATAGATCCAAATTTCCAAATGCTTTTCAAGAACAAGCAGTTCATCTAATGTCATAATTTCAGATCCCCCTCCAAACATATACCTGTAAAAAATCAATTTAATTAATTTCTTAGACAAATATTTAATGCATGCATTGGATTTACATAAACAAAAAATTATATGTAAATGAATTTCTACCTTAGACCTTTCTGAAGTATTTGAATCTCTTGCTTCAGCATGTCAATCTCCTTTTTTGCATCCTGGTTTACATTTCATAAAAATTTTCATAAGTAATCTTATATTTCTCTAGTTAATGAAGTCAAGTAATAAGCAATTTGATTTCTCTTAAGTAAAGTTTTAATTTTGAATTTTGTAAATAAAAAAAACAGGTTTGAGTGAGTTTATCCTTTTATAAGGTTTAGTTTGATTTGATTTCAGATTAATCGAGTCAAAATAATTATCGGATATCGAAAGTTCAAATAAAAAAAAATTAATGAAGGCAAATAAATGAAGCGAAAGGACAAAAGGAGAAAAAAAAAGATCTGTTCATAATTTTTTTAAACGAAAAATTCAAATTCAACTCTTTGAATTAGGGATTTCCCATTAGTTAAATGCTTGGTGCTAATTTACGATTAGTTAGATGTCAAGAATTAATTGGTTCTCATAATTTTTCTCTTTCTTATTAGTTGGAATTTAAAATAGAAATAGAAAGTTGTCATTGGCAATTTGCTCCATTGGTTTACAAAACTTTAGTTGATGTAAAGTGTTTTTTTTGGTACTACGGAGTAACATATATTAATTAATTAATCTTGTTAAACACACACACACACCAATGATACCATTAAACAGCAACTGTGAAATTTAATAATAGTTAAATGGAGATGGTTGCGTCGGGCTCAGCCCTGTCTTTTGAAAAGGAATTTTGATAGGTCCAATCTTTCTCGATAAACCTATATCTATAAACAATTTTAAGACAGTCACTCTCTAAAATGTACATGAGATTCTTATCTCCTATAGTGTTTTGTTCCTTTCTTTTGAAATCAATTTTTTTTTTCATTAAAAAAATCTGCCCTTCTTTCATTATGTCCCAAAAAGTAACTAAAACAAATTCATTCACATTTTTATGTTGCAATTGAGTTTTTTTTTTTTTTGATTATTTTCAAAGGAGAAGATTTTTTTTTTTTTTACTTAAAATATGCTGATCCAATCACATAATTTTAGTTTAAACTTTTAAATTGAATAACTTTTTTTGACCGGAAAAGTTGAATAGTTCTTAACATATTTGGGTTTTTTTTTTTTTTCCCTATATGTATTGTTCTACCAATTGAATGAAAACAAATTTAGGATTTTTACTCTAACTTTGAATATTTCTATGGTATTCTTATTAGGAACTATTTTAAGATGTTTCTTAGAGCAGATTCCCCATTGACCAATGCTAGAAGTGGCAAAAATTGATTCAACTCGAAAAATTTGTTTGACCAGCTTGAATTTAAATCTGACTAATTCAATTTGATTAAAAAAATTAACAATTCAAATATGATTGGATTCAAATCTAAATGATTCGAACTTAACTTAACCTGAATTTAAATTTATCCAGATTTAATTTGATCTTAATTAAATTAATTTGAACCCAAATTAATTTAAACTTAAATTAATTTAGATTCAAATGATTTAAATTAAAACTCAAAATGGCTTGACTTTAATTTTAGGGTTGAAATTAAATTGGAAGGCTTTTTATTTTTTTGAAATCTTACATTTTCAATTTTGGAAGAAAAAATATCAAAAGATAAAAGGTGATTAATTAATTAATTTTATTTTTTTTTATAAAATTTTAGTAATTTACCATTTATTAATAAATAAAAATATAAAAATTAATTATTAATCTTAAACAAAATATAAATTAGAGGTAGTATAATAATATCTTATTTATTCATTTTAATCATTAAATATAATAATCTTATAATATATAAGTAATTAGTATTAAGGGTAATTATATTAAACAAATAACCTTATTAAGTTTTTTATGAACAAAATTGAAAAAATTATATAGTATAATTTGTATATGTACAATTATACTTAATATATTGTTTTTTTTACACATAAAATTAATATTTAAAATCAAATGTTATAACTTAATAGTTAAAAATTAAAACCAAACCAACCAAGTTAAGTCATATCATGCCATGTCTTGCCAATAACTAATAGGCAAAAGGTAATTATGTTATCTTTGTTTATTATTGTATATTTTTACTATTTGATATTCAAAAAATCAATTATTTAAATCAAATTAATACTATTCTAAGTAATTTTGATATTTTAGAAAAATTTTTAAGTATTAAGATTAGATCATTAAGCCAATTAAGTAATCAATACCAGTAATACTTTTTTTTTTTAACATTATCTTAATAACTTTGATGGTGAATTTCTTGAAATTATTTAGCTATCTGTTCATTTTCAATTCAATTAATGAGTAATGTAAACATACAATTTTATGGAATATCAATATGAATCACTAATAATAAATTAATAGATAATGCATGAACTATTGAAAATAAATATTAAATATCAATCAATAAAAAATTATTAATAAATTTTATTATAAACAAAGTTAATTTTATATTTAACATAATATAATTTCATATTATTAACAAATTACTTTTAAATAATTTAACTTTGATATTTTAATTTTTATACAAGTTAATTATATTTATTTGATTTTAGAAGTTAACAAATTAAATATAAATAACCAAAGTCTTAAACCCAAATGATCCAATGTCTAATCTGAAAATTTCAAAATAAAAATTATTCAAATCCAAAATTATCTAAATGCAAATTGATTAGAATTTGAATTGACTCCACTTAAAATATCTCGAACCCGCAATGATCCAATTTCTCTTAATCTAAATTTGAGAGAATTCTAATATAAAATGATATCATTTTTCTTAATTCAAAATGATTTAATCTGAAATAACACAATTCAAATCCAATCAATTCGCCTGTTTGACACCTCTAAGCCATTCCTTATACTCATAACCCATAACGAGTTGGATCATGAATATATATATATATATATATTTTGAGGATATCAAATTATTATTTCCTTTGTTCAAATTGAATGTTTACATTAGTCTTGGTATGAAAATTAAAAAAAAAAATTGAATTTTTATACTATAATTGTTTATTCACAAACAATCATTAATTTGCTCTTGAATATGCTAAAAAAATTTCCTTAGATTATTGATTTCTGAGTTTTTCATTTTACACCATTTCGAGCAAGTTTCACGGAAAGTATTGCCATTTTTATCTTCTAAAGATGATACTATGGCTTTGCCTATGTAACTTCTGGATCCTCACCTCCCTCCCCACAAAATGACTCTCTACTAGAAAAAAAGTTTTTTGCTGACGTTTTTTTTTTTTATATGGTTTCTTATAGCAACATTTAGGCAGCCTAAAGAATTTCTTAGTGGTTAGAGCTTGGAATTTTTTGTGCATTCTTCGTCCGAATCAATCATAATAATATTTCTATTTATAAGTTGAATAAGAAGAATCTGATTCAACAACCACTTTGCCAATAACAAATATAGTGATAATAATTGTTTTGTACTTTAAGCAATTTATATAGCAGAATTCCTATACGAGACAAGAATACGAAACGTGAATCTCAATGAAGTGTTTTTCAATGACAAACAAGAAGTCTTCGAACTTTTAAGTCATTGGTTTAAGTGTTACTGTATGTGAATTTAATCCATCTTTATGTCCGCTTGCTTTTTAATTTTTTCATGAGGGCACTACTTGATAGATATTGAAAGTTATTTGACACAGATATATGTAAATGTGAGTATATTATACATATATATATATATATATATATATATATGAAACGTGAACAAATCACTTACCATAGGTTCCACAATCACTTCAGCAGGCTGATTTCCTCCATTGTACTTGTTATACCTCTCAATAAGCTCTTGCACGGTCCTTGCCCAATACAAAACAAAGATACTTGAATAACAAAATTTACTGCCCCCAAGTACATGAATTAAATATAAAAAAAATTAATTGCGTTTATCTTAATCTATCTAACAATAAAGACTTGACCTGTCTATCTATTATTTTATTTTGGATTAATCATGCTATGTCTTATATAGGAGGTTCAAAAAAAGAAAACAAAAAAAAGGAATGAACTAAAGAGGAGATGTAGATACCCTTTGGTGGCTAGTTCGTAGAGCTTCCCATGGGCGGAGAAAATGAGAACTCCAATTTCAGCATCGCACAGCACAGATAACTCCTTAGCCTTCTTAAGAAGGCCAGCTCGTCGCTTGCAGAAGGTAACCTGCCTGTGCACCGGGTTCTCAATGCGCTTCATCTGAACTCTACCACGAGCCATCACTTCAATCTGATCAACACTCCTATGCAGACAACCTACCACTAGTTTGGACTAGCTTCGAGGCTGTTGCACTACTACTTCCCTCCAAGAACTTGTCTTACAGTTGCTTCTCTTGTGTGACAGCTTCAACCCCTTTTATTGTCCCCTTGGATTCTTCTCAATCGCTTTGCCACTTGAAAATAATTAGTCGACACCCTTCTTTCATACACTTTCACTATGCTTTTCTTTATTATTTAATCTCTCTCATACCACTTAGCTTTTTATTTAATCTTTCATCCTTTTCACTTTCCTTCTTGATCGTCGCGAATCGCCCTGTGGTGCATGCTGACAAAAACAGCCACAGTGACTTTTTATCCTAATTTTTAAATTTTTTTCGATATGTAAGTTTTAAATTATATGAGGATTATCTTAAAAAGTGATTATTTAAAACATGCCACAATACATTTTGTTATCTCATCTTATATAATCGTTTATGGTTGGAGGTGATAATTTCTTATCATATTTTCTATCTCCCACATTTTAATTACTGGATTGTTGTCTTCTCGAGAAGAGGCGACAAAATTAACTTGACCTGAAATAGTATGATCTGAACCCAATTGAACTCGATTTCATAAAAAAATCAAATGTTCGAGAACAAAACAATACTAATTAAAAAATTTCAACTCAAACCCAACTCAAATTTGAAAGTATGCTGAAATAATTATATCTTAATCCTTATAAAATTTAAAAATGATCTGAACTAGTCTAAATCAAAACCTGACTTGAAGACAACAAGATTCCAACCGGAATGACCCAAACTCAACAAGCTCGAACCAAAAATGACAAAATTCGAACCAGCTCAAACCCTCCCGTTTACCGCTTCTTAGTAGTTTTTAGTGTGAGAGGCATCCATTTGCTATCCTACGATAGTTCCATTCCCTTTTTATCATTCAAACTTAAAAATTTAGAGTTGAAATTTCTAATTCCATTAGAGTATTCCTTAATTTGGAGACTTTTTTTCCCTTCCTTTACAAAAAAAGAAAGGACAAATTATTGCTTTGAGATCTAACTCACATGGCAATAGATTCAAGTTGAACTTTGCAGAGGAAATCACTAGATGATGAAATATATTTAAGCTGTCCTGCCAATTCATCATTTATGTATAGTCGTTTACTCTACTATAGAAAGGGAGAGTAGTAAACAAACAATACATATGATTTTATGGTAAGAAATTTCACACTTGACAGTTTAGTCAGCAGGCAATAGCTTTTTCATTTCATGTGCAACCAATCACCAGCCAACGAGCCACCCCATGATAGATTCCATGGCTTTTTCCCATCTCTTTCTCCATATATCTTGGCCTTCACGCGTTTCCCTCAGTTTTAGTGACAAATTCTTATTCTTATAAAGTCTTTAAAGCATTGGCTACTTGTCTTAACAAAGTATTATTTATGAACCGAAACTCCCACCATCCTAGAAGTTAATATTAAAGCCAAGAACAAAGAATCTTGTCAAATCACTTACATCCAATAAAAACCCTAAAAGAGATTTAACCTTTGACATCGCAAGAATACAGCTTGCTAGCTTAAGATTGGTTTTAATCATTCGACACATGGATATTCTCTGCAAAGCTATCGTGAATGTGTCTCTTTCTCAATGTGATATAAAGTTTAGATTCCAATTCCATAATAAAGTAGTGGAGTACTTTATAACATATAAGAATTAATATAAGGGTTCTCGTTTGCAAAAGCATGGCATGGATTATGCATTCTTTAGTCAAAAGTTGTATGAATAACCAATGTTAGAAATGGGAGAAATTTTAAAGCATGTGATAGTTCAATTGTTTAACAACTCATAAGATGTAAATGTCCATGAATATTCATAATTTATTATAGTTTCGTATAATTTATCAGTAGTTGATTTTTTTTAAGCCAAAATATTTATGCCAAAATAATTATTAAGTAACCAAAAGGTTTGCGAGAATTTATGTTCTTAGAATAACAGGTTCTTCAAGCATAGAAAAAAGAAATAGGAATCATGTTTGCGAGGAAGTAGTGAGAAGTAAGGAGGCTGAGGCGGGTGGTGATATGTTTGGTGTTAAAAAAACCAATCTTCAAGCATTGATTAGTAACAAAATCATATTTCCTTATTTAGAGGAGGGTAGAACTTTTGATGTAGCACAACCTAGCAAATCTTATGGAGACCGCTCTAAAAAATTTAGGTTTTGAATGGAATAGTAGAGGATGAGACAGTTCATAGGTTGGAAAATTGTTTGGTTAAGGCATGGTCAAATAAGGTTTAAATGAAATTTTAGGTAACATGGTTAACATGTTTTGGTATTCCTTTACATGTTTGGATTGTTGCACTTTTAGGAATATTGCAAATGTTTGAGGGGAGCTACTGAGCTTGGATGGCAAGACTTTACATTTCTAGGATTTTAGTAGAGGTATGGTTTAATGATTGATCAATTAGATAAAATTGATGAAACTATTGTGTTAATTACATTTCTCATCATTTGAAATACTTTGGTATTTTGCTACTTTTTTTCTCATATCTTTACAGTTTCTTTTTCTATTCATTTTTCATTCAAACCATTCATTTTTTTCAATCTTTTTTTCTTTCCAAGAAGATTTCACTCACAAAAGGGTTCTTTCTATTCTACTTCTCAAATCATTTGTGGCATTTGCTTTTTCTCTTTGTGAATGGGTCTTTTCCAATCTTCATCCTTAAGACTTTTTATGACCTTTGTTTTTTGTTTTTTTCAAATAGATCTCTTCCCTAAAATTTATCTTTTATTGTGGAAAGAGATCCTTGGTTGGGAATCTTTAGAGAGAAAAGAAAAAAAAATCATGATAAACTCAAAATGGGTAATAACAAATGATTACATTTTCATAAAGGTAAAAGAAATATGGTTATTTCTCACACCAAATATGAATATTTTCCTTGGAGATCAATTATTGAACAAAGATAGAATTGTGAATAAATCATGTTAAAGGACTACATGCTTGTAAGGCATCTTTATTTCGCTTATCAATGGATAAAAATTGCATGCTAGTTTTAACTCCTTTTATATAACTTGTTTCTTTTGCTCAAATAATTTCTACAAATCAAATTTATCAATATGAATGAGTTTTTAAAATTGAATCCCAAATTATTTTTATCATTATCTAAACATTCATTATTTGAATATGAGAACAGTTATAAGAAAAGATATAAAAAGATAAAAGTATAGAATGGTGATTTGAATGAAAGAGAAAATGTAATGAAAATGCATCATACTTGTTACTTTTACTAAGATGATAAAGAATGAAATGAAATGATATGGATAATAGGTTATTGTTACATGGGTTTGGTGCATTGGGTGAATAATGCGGGGCAAAACTTCCAAACTCTTGCCTCATATAGCTCACTATTTGAGCTTTAATTTTTTTTAGTGTACTAATTTTCTTCACACTAATAGTTTTTTCGCTATCTAACTTGCCATTCTTATGGTATTTTTAATAATCTTTCCAAAAATCACGGTGTCAAAAAAGTTTTTAATGGCATTCCCAATCATTCTTTTGTAGTAAAAAGCTTTTAGGGTATTGACAAACAGGACGATGGTTTCCTTCCCAATAAAGGGTGTTGGACTTGAGCAACCAATTTTTTCGTTTTATGTATATTCTTTGAAAGTCTCTGCAGTCTTCTTCTTTATGTTTTACAAAGACAAATGTCTAAAGTTAGCTTTATGATGTGCTAATATTGAGTAATGAATGCCTTTACCAATTATTTCCATGAGGTGATGCAAATCTTGTCTAGCTGGACATACTATCTAGTTGTAGGGCCTCTGTGAGTATCTTAAAACACATGGATCATGAATTTGTCATCGTGGATGTGAACAAACATCTTATTATAGTACATAGTGACATAAGTCACTAGAAATTTAGTACTATCATGCTTTTCAAACTCAAAGACCTTAAAACTTAGGTGGATTACCATATCAGGCATCAAGCATAAGTTATACGCATCTATAGATCCATAAAAATCCACTCCTTCAATAGCCTTGAGCCTTCTTCAATGAGATTTATCTTTTGAGCAGATAAGTCTTTTATTTGCTTAGTAACACTTATATTTAGCTTTTCCTATTTTTTAAAATCATTCAAATCAGAAACTTAGATTGGATCTGATATCTTTTATACCAAAACAAGATCAATAAAATCTTTGAATTAACATTTGACAATTGTAGAGGATATTCTAGAATATGGATATGCCTTAGATAAAGAAAATTAAGCCTATGCCCCTTAAGAAATTTAGCCCTCATAAGGATCGTACCTAAAAAGATACAAAAGATATACCCTATCTTGAGATGTATGCTCTTGCAAGCTAGGACTTTCTTCCATAACTTTCCTATTGCCCTTATTAAGCATGTCCATTATTTTAGTCAATTCTCCATTTAGTTTTTCTTGGGCTTTCTACATCCTCTCAAATCAGCTAGCCTATTCTAATTTCATAATCTTTGTTTGGGCTTGAGTGTACTGATGGCAAGTGGGTTGAATCTTTTATTGTTGAGCTATCCTTAAACCTTAATTTTCACATCTTATAGTTATGATAGGTATGCTTATACTATGAAAGAAGGATTTACAAGAATCATCCTAATATTCAACCACCAAAATTCATTAGTTGCCATAAAATGACATGAATGAAATGTATACATTCAATGGATGTTGAAAATACTTGTAGCTTAATGTTATCAAAATCTAAGTAAAAAGACAAATGATGAAATTAAATTATTACACATTTCATGACAATTCATCGTATGTTTTATGCAACATGATATGTACAAAAAGAAGGCTAATTAACACATAATATTAAAAGAAATCAATCATGTGTAAAAATTTGTAATCTAAATTTTAAGTTATCTCTATAAAGAGGAAGACATGGCTCTACCTGAAGGTTAGGTCTTTTAGGGCACATTAAATGTGTGGTTTGGATTTTTAATCTAAAGGTTCTCAAATTGCTCATTGCTATAATCTATAATGGATTAATAAGACATCCCAGTCCTTAAACATTACATGCTACAAACAGAAAGGGTTCATGTTATGAATATAAAATCTTACGAAAGTGTAGGTACT